TGGTCAGCTTTGGGTTTTTGGCTCTGTATGGTGTTGTTTCATTGTTCTTTTTCCTGGCTCCGATGTCAAGTCTACGTATTTCCTGTATGTTGGCAAAAAATATTTCCCTGGTCTAAAACAATAGAAATTGTCAGGATTCGGTTTTTGTAAAGGTTTCACACTCACAAAATAAAAGCAGGATGCCTGACCCCAGCAGTGAGAGGATCCAGTGGCTCTATTTGGTGTGGGCGGGATTTTCCTGGCATGGTTTGAGTCCACCCGTCCCCTTAGAGGAAGGGCTCACTGCAAATCAATACGAAGCTGTTCTGAGTGATCACCTTTATCCTGTGATGAAACATGTCTGTGCAGCACCGAACCGTTAATCCTGAGGTTAGGAGACGACCCGCTCTACCTCCTGAGCCGCAGCCTCGTCCAGTCAGCGTGTCAAAGTGTCCTTGTGCAAGACACTGAACGCCCCGTTTCTCCTGGTGATAACACCAGTGTGTGAATGTGTGAGCGTTTGTGAGTGTGAATGGCCAAATAGTGTGAAAACAAACTTGAATCTGCTGTAAAGCATAGAAAAGCGTTATACAAGTATAAGACCATTTACAAGTAAATCTACTCAGCTGGTGAAGCAGATCCAGCCCTCAGACCAGAGTTTGAGAGCCACCCTCTTCAGTAATATATGTGTGTGGCCCTTGTGTGTATGAGCTTATTCAGTAGCTGGTGCTGTCTAATTAAAGCAGGCAGGCAGGCAGACAGGCTGCTGCTGCCTGTCTGTCTGCACAGAGACACGCTGCAGGATGAAGAGTCCTAATAAGGAGGAGATCACAGCAGCAGGGACACACACTCCCTGGCTGTCTCTGTCTCTTACCCCTGGGGCTTTGGCTGTGTGTGTCCTATTAACTGTCTTATGCCATCGAGTTCACTGAGCCAGTCTGTCGGTTTGTCATTCATTCAGTCTATAAACCTTCTACCTCGTCAGTCAGCAGCCTTACCGTTTAAAATCCAGACAGCCGGATGCTACAGATGATCGATATATGTCGTATTACATCAGTCATCTGCGTTCACCTTTTTGTCCTTAACCAGCTCAGACCACATCATCAATCACATCATCCAACGTGAATCAGCTCCAACTGATCTGAGACCGAATCTTATTAAATATTCAGAAAACATTTTATTTCATTTTCTTTGTATCTTAAACTTTGGCTTTATAAACCATTGCCCTTAAAATACATATAACTCAAAAAACATACACAACACAAACAATAATACCAAGAAAATAACATCTATGCCTACATGACTAATTCCTCTTAAAAATAATTTAAAATGATTCCAGTCATGATCCAGATCTGAAGGTCGGAGACCTGAATTGTAAACCCCAGCACGCTACCTAACGGAGTGTCCCAACTGTTGATCTTCAGAAGCTGTGTTACATCACTCATTTCACATGTCAACATCTGGCACAGAGATATTTGCAGTGTTACTGTGTATTTATGACTACAAATGACAAGTCAGGTTTCTGAATGATAAAAAAAACACTGACACCATCCAGTGAACAATAATATAAAAAATGCTTCTTACATTAAAATTGAAATATGTTGCCTTGGAAGGCAGCAGCTTTCCAGTGACTGACTCAGTCAGGCGCTAATTATCAAACCAGCAAGTGAAAAGGTTCAGAGATTTACGCTGTCACGTCAATGGAGACCAGACATCCAGTAAGGTGATCAGTGTTTTAACAGGTCAGTCAGTCAGTGAGCAGCAAATCAGTTAACACGTTAATCTTGTCATTGTAATAGAGAGACGACTGATTCGAGTTGACATTTAAGAGGTTCAGAGGTCACAGGTCCAGGGTGGGGACAAAAGTAGAAGCGCAACACTCGGCAAAGCAAGGTCATGATTTAAAAGCTGAGAGCAGCTGAGTGAAGCAGAATGATGTGCACTACTAATTAAACTGACCTTTCACTTCAACATCTAATGTTATTCTGGTTTAGGACATTTTCACTGTGGGTCCCTAATTTATGTTTGCTCTTCATTTTTTGCAATTTGTCATACAAACTTCACTCTTGCTTGGATTTCAGATGGGCTTCATAAAAACAGAGTAATTTAAGAGTATTTTAATAGTAATTTAATTCCCTGAATGGTGGCACGTGGTGTAATCAGATGACTGTTTACTGTTGTGTCTCAAATTTCATCCTATCGTCACTAAAGTTTGACAGCAAACTGAGGAAAAGTTTAAAATACCTGCACTGGCCTACTTCACCTATCAAATCACATCTCAGAGTAAAAATGCACTCACAGGGGATTTTAGATGCAGTATTACAGTGGGTCTACTGGATAAAACCCCAGAATACAGATCCCCAAAAACTGATGTTGTGAGACTCTGCAAAACCTCACATTAAGTTCTGTGGTGAGGTTTTTAAATTTCCTTCTGTCTACAGTATCTGTATATAGCAACTACAGTATGTTGGGGAATGACTGTGGTTACAAGAAACCAATATTAATATCAGGCCTTCGATAGAATGTAAAGTCTTATCTTCTTCATCTTCCCAGGATCCAGATGCCTCCCCCTCACTTTCCACCTCTCTACATAACAATTCCTGCATTAAAACTGGGCACTGGCAATTGGATTACAAAATCATTACAAAATGAAAAATGGTTTTTCACAAAAGTTTTTCCTATTTTCTAAAATATCAGGCTGGTACATGTGGAACGCCATCTGAAACCCCTGCGTGTTTCCTTGCTGTCTTACAGTCGCGACTTAAATTTGTGGAAACCCAGTAATTTGTTCAATATTATGCGTCTCATCTAAGACACAATAAAGTCTAGACTGAGTTGTTTCTTTAAAGTCAAACCAACCTCAATTACATGTTGGAGGGTTTGGTAATAAACCAAAAATGTTTCTTTAAAAGCACAACATTCATTTACCTAACAGTGTTAATCTATAAAACTTGGACTGAATGATCAAGTAGTGGCCTGGACATGTTAACACCCAAGTTTACATTCATATTGACAATGAACAGACCTAAAATGCAGCTGATTTCACTGCAGACTGCACTGTGAGCTTAACAGTTAAACTAATACTCATGTGTTTTGGGAAGGGTTCATGTGAAACAATTTGGAAATCCCAGAGTTAACCAATTAGTCAGAAATTCAACCGGTGACTCGCTCAGCCGGCCCAGAGGGGCAGTATTCACAGCTGAGAGGAGGCCAGCAGGTCAGTGTGCCAGTTGGCCTGTAGGTGGCGCATTAACGCCCTGATTCACTTCACACTGATACAGTACCTCCTCTTTGTGTGCTGTCCACTGCTGCTGTTACATTATGTCCTGTGTCTGTTCTGCTGCTGCAGTCCACCAGAGACCCACGCCCCTGAAAAGTAGCTAGACCTGCAGATTATGTGGCCCCACCACCACTCCCACTGCTCCCAGCTGGAGAAATGTGCAATTACATATACTCAGTAAAAAAATTAATAGTTTCCATGTGACAGACTTGTAGCAAGACTGTATATGATTATTCATAAAAGTGCAAATAATTAATTTAATCAAAATGAAAAAAAGATTTAAAAGAAATATGAGTCATTTAGCCTATAGCCCCCATGTTGTTATGCATAGACCACAATATTTTACCATTTCTTGCACAGCAGTGATTAGTAGAGTATAATAAAAATGAATAGTCTTCCCATATACTGTATGTGTAACTACCAGATGACCACCAAATGGACCTTCTGGTGTGAATTGTCATGTGAAGAGATGTGTGTGCATCTAAAAGCCAGCTACAAATGAGGGTACACAGTTCACTGTGCAACGTGGAGTGCACGTGAGGAGCCACAGGGGGCGGAGAAAGAGGAGCCGGGCTGTTTAGGGTTCATCCGTTTCACTTTGTGCATTTTGACTGCATCACTTCAACTTACATATCATCTGTTTTTGAAAGCAATAACTTATTTGCCATTTTACCATTTCTCTTTTGACTGTTTAACAGAAAAATATCCAAAGTCGTGCAAAAATATTTTTAAAAATGAGAACAATGTAAACACAAATAAACCTATTTACGGCATAAAAATATGAGTTCACAACAAAACAATATCCACATGTAGCCTACACTACTAGGGTCGGTAAAGTTGTATTAAATGTAAGAAAACTACACTGAAAACGCAACAAAAACGGGTTTGTTTGAAACTATGTGGACAAGATGACAGTTTGAGATAGTATGTGGTTGTAGTTGTAGCAGCGGTGGGAGGAGTTGGGCAAAGATGGATAGATGGTGAAATACCCCTGCAAGAGCTGGAATCGGAGGACAACGTGGCTCTGAAAGCATTCCGCCTGTCTCTCTGTCACATTCCTAGATTTAAAGGCAGAGAATGGGGGAAACCATATCCTACTGTGACCTCCCTACCTCTGCTGTGTCATAAAATTGCCAAAGCGGCTTAATATTTGTATTATATTCTCCACCGATGACTAAGAAAGTTGGTTTATTGTCTCTGCAATGAATCATACATGTTATCTTAAACGGGAACATAGACCACGAACGCACCATATGGTTCATTATTTTATCTGAATACTGCTAACAAATACTGTAAAGCCTTTAAGATGGTTTTCGCTCTTTGTTGCGGCTCCACCTGACGCCCTGAGGTGACACAGACAGACAGACAGGCAGGCAGGCAGGCAGACAGGCAGGCAGGCACAAGGCCAGGTAGTAAGACACCCGGCTTCTTTTCACAATCAACGTGTGTTTCTGTCCCAACTTTTACCCGCCACCATTTTTCCTAGAATCCGTCCCTGGTACATATCACTCCGCAGACAAGACAAAGTAGAACCCAACTTCAGCGTAAAATTTGAAAGTATAGCAATCAAGCCCGGTTTTCCCGCGCGGACTCGATCAAAACGGCAACAGATGATGACTATTCAAAGGGTTGTTCAATTGCAGTTAACGACTTTTTAATGGTTTATAATGTTTTGGCGCGGTTTTGCGGCGGAAGCACACGGGCAAATCTCCGAGATGTATAAATCAAGCGACCCTGGCGGCCACACCTATTCTGTGCTGTAGTAACGGAGGGTGATCCGCCCGCCGGCGATACACACCATGCTACCCTGTTCTAACTCCAATTTTACACGCAGAAAAACTCACACAAGCAGACTGTTGTAGTTTTATCTCTCTCCCACTGGACCTGGTTGGATATTTTGGACGTTTCTTCGACTTTTATATTTATTTTGAGTTTCTCTTGTAAGGACAGTTGAAGGTAAATCACACGCATGCCGATAACGAGGTTAACGTTACCTAGTGTTGGCTAGTTATTGTACACGCCATATGTTAACGTTAAATGTGTTTATTTGTGTTTGTGTGCACTTTGTCATGTTGGTCTGTGTTTCGTGCACTGTAAAATGGCGAATTCAAGAGAATGCCGGTTTCACGTGGAGACCCGGCGTCGTTAAATGCATGTGGGCTTTAAATGGCCCTTGCAGCCGGTTAACCTTTGGATCATTTTAGGGGTTTAAAGCGTTTGTGCTGCTATGTCTGTGTGCTTGTCTTCACACGGAAACACTGAACTGGGGTAGAGAGGTATATTGTTGCGTGTCTTTAGCACTAAAGTAGTAAAAGGTGGTGGAGTTTGCCGCAAACGCAGGCAGCAGAAAACGAAGACTCGGCGACTCTGGGTTCAAAACCTCATTCAGAAATGTGTGGTTTTTAGATGTTTCAGTTGGTCTGCACCAGACGTGCGAAGGTAATGTTATCATAGGCATGTTTTATTTTATTATCTTGATACGGCGCAGACTAGTCTGTATTTACGTTTTGGATCAGGTTTTCCACACTGGCGGTGTTGCACTGATAGCTGAACACAGGGGGCGCTGTTGCACATTTTTTAATATCAACAGTGGTCACAGAGTCCGATGGATCACAGATTCCAGTGTAACAGCGGTAAAAGAAAGGCAGCCTTTAACTCCCAGAGGCTGTCTGCACCACACACACACTGCTGCTTTGTCCTCCAGCACCGCCCGCTGTACATACACAAACCCTAAGACCTCAGCAAAATTATAGGATCTCTTCTCTGCTGTGCTTGCTCTTTGTTTAAAACTTACTGTGTAGTGTTTGCAATATGATTTAATTTTTTTTGGTTTGTAATAGAAGCACAAAACAAGCATGTCCTGACTGGTTGGTGTAGTTGTGCAAAATTCCCTTTGGCTTTTTACATGGCAATTCTCCAGGCTTTGTACTGAGCAGAGTGGTTTTTGTTGGTCTCTAAAATGAGCCCTAAAAGTGCTGC